CGTTGCCAGGTCGAGTCGTCTAAGGTGGCAACCGAACCTCCACCGGAGATTCTTAGCACCCCCTGCCCCGCCGTTACCATGGTCGCCACCGTAGCCAGGAATAGCGGGGCCGCCGGGGACTGGGGGCCGTCTCTTTGTTACTCTCTTCATAGGGGGGTATTTGCCATAGTTGCCACGCTTGGCGAGCGGGTTGGCAACCGCAGTTTTTTTTTTTTTTTTTATTGTCTGGCTATTATCAGGAAGATGCTGCTGCCCATCTCCTGGCTGTTTCCCTTTGTCGCCTTTTACGACACCCACGGGAGGATATGGGGTAGTGGATATTCTTGACCGCCACTACACGGCTATAAGACAATTCATTACCTTATCTCGTCGCGTCGGCCGTGGATGTCGTAAAACGGAAGATACCCCATGTCGTAAAAAGTTCTTGTGGCTTTTGATATATCGCTATATATCAAAAGCCACAAGAACTTGTGCAACCACATCGAATTTATACCGGATATAAAATACTTCATACGTGGTAGAGCCATGCTGCAGCTATATTAATGGTATAGTTGTAGCACGAATGGGTCTCCTCGACCGGGGAAGGACCACGCTCTCACAGAATACCAGCGTAAAATAGCTTGATACTGCTGTGTTTCGTATTGTGAGTGTAGAGAACCGGATACCCTTTTTACTGGAAAAGAGGCATTCCATCTTAGTCCTCACGGGTGACGGACGACGCATCTGCATTTAAGAGAAGATAGATGTAGACGTCTATGGGTCACAGCAACCACTTACCATCAGGTGGGCTGTGTGCTCGTTTGTCACCCTATCCTATAAAAAAAAAACTTGCGGTAGAAAGCAGCTTCGGAGGTACGTGATATCTGTTACTTATTAATACTTCGCTGCATCCGATGGAATCACAGAAAAGCTTTGCCCACTCGTCTTTAGGGGTCTCTTTGACGGCATATGAAACGCAGCCACTGCTTCCTCGACGTCCATAAAATGTTTTCCTCGAAGTTTTTCTTTTATTTTCGGTGCGAGGTCGGGGCTATAGGGCGGGTGACCCAGTAATTTCACGTCTGACATCGCCAAGTAGTCGATTGTTTGCTTGGCGGTGTGCGACGAGGCGTTGTCATGGTGAAAGAGGATCCTACTGCGAGGTCGTTTCTCCCGAACTTTTTCCAAGACAAGTGGCAAACAATTGAAGTGTACCACTCTGCAGTAACTTTTTTTCGATCATCTTAAACAGTTGTTGCTTAATGACCTGTCCTTCCGAATAACGAGGCTACCATCTTTTTCCCACGCTTCGACCTCTCTTCACTTTAAACACCCAGAGAGCACTGTCTCTTAGTTTCAGGATCATAATAATAAATCCAATTTTCGTCACCCGTAAGTATGTCGAACACACCATTTGAGTCACCTCCGTTAAATCTTTGAACCATTTTACGACACCAATCAACACGACGGAGTTTTTGGGCCTTTGTCAAATTATGAAGTATCCACCGGGCACAAAGCTTCCTGACCGCTAAATATTCATGGAGGATTATGTGCACTTGACTCATACCGATGCCCAAGCTTGTCCGAATCTGCTGATAAGTCACTCTTTTGTCAGTCTCTATCATAAGCCGCACAACACTGATGTTATCTTCAGTCGTCGCCGTAAAGGGCGTCCCTCACGCAGATCTTCGGTGAGATTAAGTGTGACCACGCTTAACTCATTAAACCAGTTGTAAACAGTGACACAAGATGGGGCTTCATCGTGAAAGGCCAATCATAATCAAGAAGTCTATCATAACTCTCTTTTGTTTACTTAAATGAAGTCATAAAAAATCATTGTACGAATATTTTCTCGCGTTCTGAAGTGACACAGACAATTTTCACTTTGCCGCCAAATCGTAAACAAATGACAAATTAATAAAATAAATACACAAAAATATTGGCAAAGAGATCTATTTTCGAAATTTGAACTTATTTTTTTATTATATCGTTTACAAGTGGCCATTTCTAAAAACTCAGTGTCGCCCTCGTATGTACATAAATGATTCGGTCTCGGAGAGTAGAACGTAGGCACTATTACAATATCTTTCTTATCTATTTAAGGACGAAACAGTATAATATCAAAACATAAACCACACGAACACGAATATAATAAGTGCAAAATTGCGATCTAAATTGTGTTCCAAAACATGTGCACACGTGATTTAGGATGCTGACAATAATGAGCGTACAGATTTATAAAATTTTAATTATTATAGTATTATTAATTCGATCGTTACAGCTTATTAAAGTCCACGACTGAATATAGACCTTCCCACAGATTGCCCCATAAGTAGGAAATTTGCCATAGTTGCAACGCCTGTGAGGGTTGTCAACCGCATTTTTAATCGACTTCAAAAAAAGGTTATTTGAAAGCTGGTGCTTCTCATGTGGTCCCATATAAATTTGATCTAGATCTGACCAGTAGTTTTTGAGTTATCCTTGATAATGCGTATTTAATTAAATCCGACTACATTGATGATATTCTCATTTTGTTTTTATTGAAGTCGGTTGCACGAAATTTTTAATTTTAACACTTGTTTTTACAGTTGTTATTAGAAAGACGCTGCTGCCCATCTCTGGGTATGTTTCCTTCTGTCGCCTGTTACGACAGCCACGGAACGATATGGGGCTGTGGATATTCTTACACCGCCACTACACGACCAATTATCTTTATTACAACTGAATTATATGAGCAATAAATATGTTGGCAATCTCACTTTCGACATTTAGTGCTACTTTGAACACCCTACTATTATCATTTGTATATAAAAATATTTATATTTCTGTTTGGTGACGTTCACATCGTAAAATCTACACCCTTTAATATAAATAAAATTTAAGTGTATGTCTTCTATTTAGTCCGATGGGTTATTTATTGGACGCTATAAAGAAATGAATAACCATTTTTAAAATATTTGTTTGTCTGTTTGAACTGAACTTTATCAAATGATAGATTTTATACGTGGTAGAGCCATGCTGCAGCTATATTAGTAATATAGTTGTAGCACGAATGGGTCGGCTCGAGCGGGGAAGGACCACGCTCACAGAATACCAGCGTAAAATAACAGCTTAACACTGCTGTGTTTCCTATGGCGAGTGCAGAGAACCGGATACCCTTTTTACTGGAAAAGAGGTATTCCATCTTAGTCCTCACGGGTGATAACTCATCTGCATTATGATTCTATATTGAGGATAGATGCCAGGGGTGATTTGGGCAGTATTTTTTGCGAAAAACATGCAGGTTTATTTTTTGTGAAATCGAACAATTGATAAAGTAAATAGTTTTTGATGCATATCTCATTAACAATAAGAGATATAAAAAAGTAACGATGAAAACTTTTTTGCTTTGCTACTTTAAATCTTTCTCTCTCTTAAAGTTTTGCTTTATGGATGAATAACATACCAACTCATTAGGGTTGATTTCGTTTGCAAACTTAAAACGACCAGCAACCTTTTCCTTTCATCGTATGACAAATTTTAATAGATACATGTAAAAAATTTACTGGATTTATTTGATTATTATTTTTATTTTATTTTTTATTTATTTGCTTTTTAAGGGAAACATACAGTACAATAATAAATTACATCATAGAACATATAAAAGCAATCCCAAAAACCAATGAAGTTTCCACAGATATCCAATACATAATAAAAGCTTGCTACCGCAATATTATATCGTATAAAAATTAAAAAATGTAAAAGAATATAATCTAAAATTTATAATGTAAAATAAAAAATTTTGTACAAATGACTTCAATATAAATTATTAAGAATAACTGAAAAACTATTGGTCAGACCTAGATCATATTTATATGGGACCACATGTGAAGCACCAGCTTTCAAATAAAAAAAATCGGAAATCGAAATCGGTTAACCCAGTAAAAAGTTATGAGGTAGCACATGAAAAAACACAGTCGAATTGAGTACCGGCTCCTTTTTGAAGTCGATAGAAAACTAACTAAATGGTATTTATAAATTAAACATTAAGTACCAAGCAGTTAAAAGTAACATAATGTATACCTACAACCTAAAGCGAAACTACCAATTATATATTAAGTTTTACAATATTTTCTTTTTTATATACATATATTACGTATGTATTATGTAAAACAAAACTGCGACTATCCCCGACAATATGAGAGGGGTGTTAAATTATTACTGAACAGCGCACGCTTGCTTGCTGTCATTTTGTTGATTCGCGTGCGTGTTACATCACTCGCTATTACGGGCTTTAATATTAGTTGCATTATAATAAATGATACGATTTATGTTGTCACTCAATGATAATGTTCGTTACGATTGACTTGAATAATTGTATGTTCTTTGGCAGTCAGCCAAAGTTTCACTTCTTCGCTTTATATATGCTTCTTATAACATCAGCTATCTGCTAGGTCCCGTCAAATTGGTCCAGCAATTTTCGAGATTAGCCGGAATAAATAGACAGACACAAAAAAATTGTGTTTTTGTTATAAGTACCGTATATACTTTCATATGCATTTAGTAAAAAGCTGTTACTTTGACATTACAAACAGACACTTCAATTTTATTTACTTGTACAGATGTATAGATAAGGGTGACAAAGGAGCACACAGTCCACCTGATGGTAAGTGGATGCTGTGACTCTGACATCTAAAGCATCTTTAAGAATCACACCCATGAGTACTAAGATGGAATGCCTCGTTTCCAATAAAAAGGGTCTCCGGTTCTCTACACTCACTATTAGAAACAAGCAGCGTTAAGGTGCTATTTTACGCTGGTATTCTGTGAGATAGTGGTCTTACCACGGTCGAGCCGACCCATTTGTGCCACTGCCGTAATATAGTTGCAGCGTCGCTCTACCCACGTATGAGTGTATATAAGGTGTGTGTGTGTAAGGTGTGTAAGTGAATGTGTATAAGGGGCTCTACTTCGTCTTGTCTAGCTTGCGGGCTAAGGAAGGTGTTAATAAGATTTTAAAACAATGTTATTCATGATTCCAGGTATTCGTGATAAAAGAGGGCGTGCAATACCGGATAAGGATCGACTTCATTGTACAGCGCGAAATTGTTCACGGTCTTAAATATGTGCAAAAGACGTACCGGTTGGGTGTGCCAGGTGAGTCTTAATTTGAGTAATATATCTCATAGCGAAATTAAAATTATACATTTTAAATTTAAAATCTAAAACATCATATAACTACGTTATTACCGTTTTAGGTATACTAAAATAATAAATGAAAATCTATGGTTTCTGCTCGAACCGGTGGATTTTGATAGAGACCCCTTCGTAGAAAAAGTGGCAAGTAATTGGACCGTTTTCAATACGGTTGCTTTATGTATATATGTATGTATATGTATTTACGTATGTTTTTTTTCAATCGGTACGTTGTAAGTTACTTTTAAGCCATTTCCGAACAGACGTTCGGAAATGGCTTAAAAGTAACTTAAAAGTAACTTAAGAATCTGAAATTTTGCACACCGACTCATTAAAAACTAGAACCGATAACACACAACATACAATAATTTCATGACTATCACTTACGTGTTTTTTTTTTATAGAATAAGGGTGACAAACGAGCACACAGTCCACCTGATGGCAAGTGGTTGCTGATGCCCATAGACATCTACATCTAACTTCGATTACGAATCGAAATGCGGATGCGTTGTCACCCGTGAGGACTAACATGAAATGCCTCGTTTCCTGTAATAAGGGTTCTTCGGTTCTCTACACTCACCATACGAAACACAGCAGCATTAAGCTGCTATTTTACGCTGATATTCTGTGAGAGCGTGGTCCTTCCCCGGTCGAGCCAACCCATTCATGCTACAACTATACCATTAATATAGCTGCAGTATGGCACGTGATCAAAACGTATTACTTTTGTTTTTATGTTTTAATTATTATATATTTCTTTTCAATGTCATATTAGATATTGTAAAGTTGTGCGGCGTTACCATGGCCGACCGAAAGCGAAACGAAGAGATTCGCAATATGGCAGGTTTGAAAGATGACCTTATCACAAAAATTGATAAGGGCGTGCTTCGGTGGTTTGGGCACGTTGAACGAATGAGTGAAGACCGAATGGTGAAGAAAATATATAGCGCGAAAGTTAATATTAAAAGGTGTCGAGGTACACCGAGACTAACTTTCGAAGACCATGTGAGCAAATTGCTCGAAGAGGGTAGGGTCAAGAGTACTCGGATAGCTAGACGTGCATGTATGAAGAAGATAATGAATCTGAAAGAAGCGAAAGAGGTATGTAAGGATCGTGACGCTTGGCGATCTGTTCTCTCTGGCTACCCCGTCAGGGATTGTGCGTGAAGATAAGTAAAGTTGTTCAGAATTTAGTGAGTTGTATAGAATACATATCATATGTAAATAGAGTTCAAAGTTGTACTAAAAGCTAAGATAAATCAATACAAAGATAATCGCTGATTCTTACTGCGTAGTTCGGTATAAAATTATTTGAATATTCACGGGAGCGTCACCTAAGCCTAATTTGAACCTGCAATTGTTTTATTATTTTATATACTACGTGTACAAATTGCTGCTTGGTGGTAGGTCTGAAGGTAATAGGGAGCTAGTATGTTTTACAGCATGTGAGACATTCCATCTTAGTCCTCAGAGGTGACAACGCAACTGTAGTCATCTTTATTTGTAGTTTTATACGTGGTAGCCATGCTGCAGGTATATTATGGTTGTAGCACGAATGGGTCGGCTCGACCGGGGAAGGACCACGCTCTCACAGAATACCAGCGTAAAATGGCAGCTTTACACTCGTACACTATCGTATGGTGAGTGTAGAGAACCGGAGATCCTTTTTACTGGAGAAGAGGCATTCCATCTTAGTCCTCACGGGTGACAACGCATCTGCATTTTGATTTGTAATCGAAGATAGATGTAGATGTCTAATGGCTTTAGATGTCAGGGCCATCCACTTACCATTAGGTGGACTGTGTGCTCGTTTGTCACCCTTATTCTATAAAAAAATTTGGCTGCAAGTGTCTATACTGCATTAGCTACTTACCATTAGATGGATGGTCAGTTCATTTGTCACTTCAGTTTTATAAAAAAAAGTTAGTTGAGGCCAGTGTTTGGGGTTTACGAACCAAACGTATTGGAAAAATTATAGATTAACTAGACGTTCCCCGCGACCGCCCGCGTGGAATTTATTACGATTAGATTTCATGGGTTTTAATTTTTTTGCGCAGATCCCTAATTCTTTTTATAAAATAAAAGTAGCCTAAGTTACTTCTTATAACATCGGCTATCAGCTGAGAAAGTCCCGTCAAAATCGGTTCAGCCGTTTCGGAGATTAGTCTGAACAAACAGACAAAAGTTTTTTTTATTATAAATACCGTATATACCACTTTCATATGCATTTAATAAAACACTGTTATTTTGAAATTACAAACAGACACTTCAATTTTATTTGTTTGTGTAGATTTATGTAGTACTAGTTAATTTTTAATGAATTTTGTCCTACATCCTACGTTGTTGATAATACACGAATAAAAGCGATAAACATTCACTTTTTGTTTCTTCTTCCATGCATCCATCTGGACAGTGCCCGGTACGTACGGACGGCTAAACAATTTGTATTCTACTTGCGTTTTATTAATAACATCGCTATAAATATGCGTCGACGCACATACATGTGTCACGTGTATTGTATGCAATGATACGCAGGCGATATTCGGCGATGTTGTAATCTGGGACCTTGATATGATAAAGGCTATTGTTGTTTATCATGGTTTATGGAAGTACATCGGAGGTCTCGACAGAAAATCATTAGCATAGTGCTAATGCAACAAATAATATTGTTAATACAATAAAGTGGGTATATTGAGCCTTGATTGGTAGCTCAAGGGCTAAGTACTTGCTCTCTAAAAATGCGAGTAAATAGTCTAAGGTGTATCTATAATAATTTTATTCTTAAAAAAGAAGTCTCCTCCACACTAGGAGTAAAAGTGGGCTTTTACTTTTCACAATTTTTTTAGGCGAACTTTAACAAATCAGCTTGTAATTTCCTAAAGGGAATTGACCGTGAAAAGAGCGTCACGGATCATCAGAGTTGAGTTAGATTGAGAGGAAATAGCACAAAATGACTCATTGATTTTATAAAAAAAACAACAGTATTAGTAACTACCCCAATAAAGTGAATTAAATCGCTATGCAATGCTGCATTTTAAACTATTTTAAAGGTTTAACAGTATAAATAGTTCGAAATAACGTAGTTGTCTGTATATGTTACTCTGTGGGCCTCTTATCTTGTTTCTGAGACCAATACGTGTTGGCGGTTTTTAAAAGCCCTCTTAATATTTTTAATTTATCTGACATGTCAACTCGACTCTTCCTACTATTAATTTCAACACTGATTGTTGTTAATTGCCAAAATAATTATGTGTTGACGTCAGTGTTTACTTTGCTACCGAATTCAAACAGGAGGAGGTACTCAATTCAACTGTATGTTTTTTTAATGTGTGTTACCTCATAACTTTTTACTGGGTGAACCGATTTCGATGATTCCTCTTTTTTATTTGAAAGCTGGTGCTTTTCACGTGGTCCCATATAAATTTGATCAAGGTCTGACGAATAGTTTTTGAATTATTCTTAATAATTCATATTGAATTTTTTGTTGTACAACATTTTTAAGTTTTAATTATTTTAAAGGTTTAATTTGTTAACCCTTTTAGTGGCCTAAAGAATACCACAAGCACTTGGTAACTAGAATGTCATAATAGTTACATCAAAAACTGTCGATGTTTTTAATTGCATTCATAGGGATGAAATTTTGTCGCCAAATTATATATGCCCACCCGTAAAGTATAACCTGTTTAATAAAAAAAGAATAATGAAAATCCGTTCACAATTCACGAATATACATACAACATAATTTAAAATTAAACATTTTGCAAAACCGCCTTCAATATAAATTATTAAGAATAACTCAAAAACTATTGGTCAGAGACCTTGATCAGATTTATATGGGACCACATGAGAAACACTAGCTTTAAAATAAAAAAACATTCAGTTGAATTGAGTACTTCCTCCTTTTTGAAGTCGGTAGAAAAAATGCAATCGACTTGCGAACCTCCTCCAATGATCTCGAAATGAATATTTATTTATGTATATCTATTATATAATATAACAAATATATAATTTTCAATATTGCAGTTGACAAAATGACCCACATGGTGGGCTCGTATCCTCCCAAGACTGAGATCCAGTCTTACACCACTCCACCCGAAGACGCGCCATCGGGCATGATGGCACGGGGCTCCTACACGGTCAACAGTCTCTTTACTGACGACGACAAGAACATCCACTTGCAGTGGGAATGGAGTTTCGAGATCAAGAAGGATTGGAAGGAATAGGTAGCTTATTGGTGCGAAAAGGGAACAAACCGGATTGGACATTTGACAGTGGTATTTCGCCTGTATATAGATCGGTTTCATGATGTGTTTACTTCTAAATTTATTTATATGTTATGTTGTCTCCTTCTGTGATTACTTTTCGATACATAAACCGTAAAACGTCTTAAATAAATTCACAAAGAGTTCACAATTACAGATACTTCAACTCATCTTGGCACGCGGCGCTATGTGAGCGTAATGCTTATATAGTAGACTAGCCATCCGTCCCGGCTTCGCGCGATTGATTTTTGGGTCTCGACAACAACGCCATCTACAGAGTCCAATTGTGAATCTAAACCATTATGTAATCAACTTATCACGTATACAAAATTTCATCAAAATCGGTCCAGCCGCTTAGGAGTTCAGTCACATATAATTAAGAATAATTATAACATATGTATGTATTATACATGTAAACATTACTCTTGAATTATTCTGTCTCTTGTTGAAAACTGCATCAAAATCCGTTGCGTAGTTTAAAAGATGTAAGCGCATAGACAGCGGTAAGCGATTTTGTTTTTCATTATGTAGAAATACAGCGACTGCGTGCGTGTGCGTGACGATGGACGCATGGACGGCGACTGCCGCGTCACTGCCACACAAATCAAAGCTGCATATTTACAAGCATACACACACACACACACACATAGTGCCGCGCGCCAAGATGAGTTGAAGTATGTGTAAGTATTATTATGTTAATCGGAACAATAAATGTCCAGTTCTGTTTGTAACTTTGCGAAATTACATAACGCGTACTTTGAAGTATTAGAGATTTCATTAAAAATGCATATTTGTGAAATGACTGAAAAACTGCATTTTCATGAATTTAAAACATGCGAATGTCCTCACACTTGCGTTTCGTAATTTTGTAATCGGCGTGAATATTGTTTGCCGACTGAAAAAATAGCGTATTGCCTAGAATGTAAGAGTCATTAGATGTCAACAAAACTCCATTTATCCGAACTTCAGCATTTTTAGTTTGTAATTTTTATTTTTTATCTGTGCAATTAAACTTGATGTTTAACGGTGTTTGGTAAATAGACGTTTGTTTGTAAATACAAATAAATACATATTAAAGGAGATTAAAGCGTGTTTACATTTAAAATATACTACATTTCAAATTTTAGAATAATTTACCCCGTGTATGTAAAGTCTGACTATTTCTCAATAATACGTAACTGATTCAAAAATATTTATCAATATTTACGATATGTGTCATATCCAATACTATTTTTATATGATCCAAAACTAATAGATTTAGTAATTAGAATAAACTTACCATAGCTAATTTTAAAGCAGGTAAAATGCTCTCGATATGAAATAAAATTATAATGTTTAGCTTTTAATATCTTTGTCAATCACTCTTGTGACTTTGACATCGTTTTTGCTCTTTCTACCCTCTTGAACTTGTATAAAAATATATTTTACATTTTAAATTAATGTAAGTGCCCGAATTTTACAAAATAACACCTTATTTTAAATAATTATCTCATGATAAATATAACTCTCCTTCAGTGTGGCATTTTTTGTAGAAGTTTTGGTTTTAACTATGTGTTTACAATATGATTGCAACACAGTATGTTGTGTTGCCACATTAAAAAAAAGATGCTCATAGTGATAAATAATAATACAACTGCCATTTATAATTTATTATACTGCAACAAATAGCAGACATGCAAAAATAGTTACAATAATGTGTTCATACAAAATGTTGTACACTCCTGTGGAACCACTGTGCAGGAAATCTATAACATAGCATTTAAATGGGTCGTCTCGGTAGAGAAAGCAACGTGGTTTAACAGAATTCCAGGATTATGCTACGCTCTCCTAATTAGAGACCCCAGGTATGACCGCGGAACTAGACATTCCTTCTTATTCTCAGAAATGGTGACATATCATGGCTTATTTATAGATAAATTGTAGGGTCATCGGGCTACAATAATTATTACCATCATCGAGTTGCTTATGTGTCACATACAATACTTTTTAAGGAAATAGAAAAAAAAAATGAGACCCCAAAATAATTTCTAATATGGCCTATTAAAGAACACATTGAGAGTACTTTATCTGCACGCAATTTTTTTAAACGATTCTTATCCCTATAATAGAGCCCATAGAGTAAAATTTTGACATGCACTGATTCGTAACATCGAATCTTTGCATAAAATATTTTCATTCATATATTTTTTGGCTTAACAATGTCATAGTGTCAGACAATGTTAGCAGCGTTAATAAAAAATAACTGAAATTAAAGCTTGAGAATATAAAGTTTTGAAATTTATATTCTTTTCAGTCTTCGGAACATCAAACATTTTAAAGTACGGCTTACTTTTTTATACTCGCATAAATTACCTTCAGGACTTTGTTGGTTGTTATTGGTTTGTGATAACTATAAAAGATTTAGTTGCTACGGGAACATATTATATATACGGTTAAAACTGTATAACATAACGCAATTTATTTTTGGTATGAAACTCTTTTTATATATTTAAACCATTTTATAGAAGTTCCATGACATATATTTTCATCATTTGTGACGAAAATTAACCTTTCCCTTAAAAATTTAACAATTGTCCTTGCTTAACGTGCTCGTGTCGAAGGTGAGACAGGTATATATTTCTTACTCTTTACTACCCTAAAATTTGTATAAATCAAATATTTTAAATAAGCAATAAGTATTAAATTCTATTTTTAATACTTCACAAGTAGCTTCTAATGTTGTAAACACAATAGTGCCAGAGACGCGTAATATTGGCAATAAAAAAGTATTAATATTGTATGTACGGATTTTACTTGAATAGATTAAAATTAGATCTTAAGTGACCGTATTAAAGTACATTTTATCCCTCAGGTTGTTTACCGGGGCATATGTTCGTGGGTATTGTGCAAATATAGGCTGAGAAGACGATGCTTTAGCATGAGAGACATTTTAAAACTAATATAAGGAGGTGCTTCAGTGTATTTCACTGGTGCTCTATGCCGAAGTATAAAGGCTCACAAATCTGTAATAAGGACTTTTCACAAAGTGTAATGTATTAAAACTATTATGTAACAAATATTTCTTTGATCGTGTGCTAAAAGAGTATAGTAGGTTTTTAGTTTCAAATACTACCGAATTCATTTTTCGTATTATATTTTATCTGCAAGCGTTGATTGCGCGCATTATTACTTTTAACCAATCACGTGTCGTGTTTTATCATTACACATCGCTGATTGGTCAATAAATTTGTTACATTACTATCATAACGTCACTTAGATTAAATATTTTAAAGGCCCAACATCAGTTGTTTTGTGGTGTTAAAAGTGTATGTACAGTAATATGTCTATATATTTGAGCTTATGAATGTAAATTATATTCTGTCAATATAATCATATAGTTCATTTTCGATTGTCTATTGTCTATTCAGTAGAATGATGGGTCGATTAGCGTTTATTTCGTGCTATAATTAAATTGATGTATTTTATTACAGCAGTAATGAATTCTTATTTCAATAGATGTGTAAAAGTTTTAAGCAATGTAATAGTTTGGCCAAAAATAAAGCTTATTTATTCAGTGAGGCCTTATCATTTTCGTTCCTATAAATATATATTTTTTAAATATATGTTATAATAAAATTAATTTAATTTAGAAGTGATCAAAATTGCAATGGGACATATTTATGAAAAAAAAGTTAAAAAAGGAACTAAGCTAACTTTAAGTTTACCATCAGAAATCGATAACATTAGGCAATATGTGAAAACTTGGAAACTCAGATTGATGCTCCTGTATTATTGTTTATATAATGGTTTGAAGTGAATTTTGATACGTAAAAGTGGTGCGATTATGTGTATGAAATATTAGGTCTTTACCTAAGAAAGTGCCGTTTTTTGTGAAATAAGTTAACGTAATTTTTTTCTATATTTTTTTATTTCTATTAATTAAAGTAATCACCCAAGTAATGGATGCATCTTTGCCAACGCAGTGGCAGTTTATTGATGCCATTCTTGAAGAAATCAATTGGACGGGAGACAACAAATTCTTCAAAGGCATTTTTTTATATAGGATAGGGTAACAAACGAGCGCAGTCCACCTGATGGTAAGTGATAGCTGTGGCCCATAGACATCTACATCTATCTTAGCTTGCGAATTAAAATGCAGATGCGTTGTCAGCCGTGAGGACTAAGATAGAATGCCTATTTTCCAGTAAAATAGGTCTCCGGTTCTCTATACTTACCATACCAAACACAGCAGCATTAAGCTGCTATTTTACGTTGGTATTCTGTGAGAGCGTGGTCCTTCCCCAGTCGAGCCGACCCATTCGTGCTACAACTATACAATTAATATAGCTGCAACATGGCTCTACCACGTCAAAATAAATTAAATAAATTATTGAAATGCTAGATTCCGATTAAAACTTTTTTGTCATGGTTCTTTTTTATTTATTTGTAAATAAATAATGGTATAATATTTGACAGATTTCTTAGCGGAAGATATGGAGATATAAATTAAATTGTGTTGAAAATATAATAGTTATAGTTTCTTTTTGTACTATTAGATATATTTTATATTAATAATAATAAAATTAAAAATAAATAAACCAAACCACAGATATTCATAAATGTAGAAAAATTAAAAAAAGTAAAAAATTGCAATAAATTAAAGAGCAAACCACTGACGCATTGTTTTGTATATTAATATAATACTCTAGAAACTGATAAACTTTTATTAAAAAACAAGTTCTCAATTAAATTTCATTGTGTAGCAAAAAACTTTACCTCAGTGTCAACTAGCGACATCTGGTGAGCAGAAAATTATTAGCCCTCATTATTTTGATTTGAAATGGCCAGTACTGCAGAACGGCAATTTCATAGGTAAAGACTTAGAAATTTACTTATCTGAACTATTAGTGGAAATATAAAAGGGTGCTTTAGCGCCTTGAGAGACTCGTCATCGACTGTCTGCTGGCTCAAACTACCGTTAAAATCTCCCAAAAATTTCACAATGTGACGCATCAACATATTGTGAAGAAGTTTTGAAATAAATTATTTTAAAAGACTACGGCAAAACAAAAGTACAACGGTAAAAGTCCATTACCAAAGATACAGAAAGAGGGATATTTGCCATAGTTGTCACGTTGAGCAGGCGGGTAGGCAACCCAAGTTTTTTATTTTCTAATTTTTATAAGGAGGACGCTGCTGCCCATCTGATTTGATTTCATCTGTCGCCTCTTACGACACCCACGGGAAGGTAAGGGGTAGTGGATATTCTAACACTGCCACTACACGGTCATTGGTTATCGGTATTTGGTTGATAAAATAAAATCAAAATACTATCGGGTAAAAATTTATAATGGTTTGGAAGGAGTGGGGGGGGGGGAGGGAGACGGGAGTGTCCTCTACACTTTCTAGTATATATACAGTAATCTATGCTCTACACCCCGTCACCACTCCCATGAAAAGGTCGTACACCATTCTTGAGAAAAATTAAAAAGGAAATCTTATAGACCTAACCTCAAATACAACAACATTTATCTCTTCGGTAGGAGGGGGGACGGGAAGGGGCCAGCGGGGGCGTCCTCTAACTCAACTGAAAGGATTTCTGGGTGCCTGAGTATTTCTGGGCGGTAAAAAGAAATAACCCCAAACTTCACTCGTGTCACAGCCTTCTAACCAAACTCAACTTAGATTTCTGCGTGTAAAGTATCTAATAATAATTTCTTTATTGTTTGTAAACATAATTTATAACCACAGAAGAATAAAAATACAATAATGTGATACTAGTCTTTGACACGGTCTTGGGTCCTTGTCGCACTTACACAAAATTATGTATGCTATCCAGTGTTCACAGTATTAGTGCATTTGTTTTTCCATGTTTAACCCATTTTTAGCTTATAATACTTTATTTTTTATTTTCTCGAAAACAGTGCATTACTTTTTAATGCGAGTGGTATTGTTATAATCAGGGACCAAACCTGTACCTACCAAATAACTTCCTACCTTGCTCTTCCAAATTCCTGCCAAAAGATTCTAAATCCAACCCAACGATTGATCAGAATGTCACGCTACGCCATTGTGATGCATAAAATGATGAACAAACCAATTCTGTCATAATTTAGTGGGGGTTGTGGTTAATAAATATTTTAAGTCTACAATTATTGAAAGAAAATTAAAAAGGAACTGTGTGTTGTGTATGTAATAAACACGAGTCATTTTTCTAATTCCGCTAATATCAAGATTATTTAATTTGATGCTAACATATCTTTTATTTGTAGTTAGCTCAAAACATAAAAAAACATAAAAAAAGTTGTGGGATAACTTTTAGTCGCGTTTGCGGAAGTGTAAAAATAAGGTAATTAAGGGTGACAAAAGCACATATCGTAGTCATAGTTTCTGTTTGGGGCAGTTTTTTTTTAATTTTTTATGAAAATCAGCAAGGCAAACGAACACACAATTCAGCCTATAGTAAGTGGATACCGTGGCCCATAGATACCTTTATCAATAAGATGTCAACAATTGCAGATGCGTTATAAGCCTCGAGGGTTAAGATGGAGCCTCGTCACTAATAAAAGTGTCTCCAGTCTTCGTCACTCCAAAACGTAGCAGCATTTCGCTGCTGTTTCATGCTGGTATCCTGCGTGGTCCTTCCCAGGTCGAGTCGAACTATGTGTGTTACAACCATAATATATCTGTAGCGTGGCTCTACTACGTTTTATCAGTTACATTGTCGTTAAGTTGACGGTTCGGTAGCACAGTGGCTAAGCGTTTGGTCGAGAGCTGCGGGTTCGAATCACGCACGGAATATGTCTTTGTATGACTTATAAATAATTGTTCTCCATGTGCAATTTATGCTGTAAAACACCTTCACGATACAGCAGTAAATCCTACTGTACAATAAAATTAAGTTTGGTTTCCACAAAAAATTAAAATTCAACAGGTAGCTAAATTAATTTATATTCATAATTGTACATTTAATTTAAAATTTCTTCCAAATTAACGTCGTATACCCTACTTTCGACGATCTGCGTTGTGTAGCTCGCTTTTTTAAGAGCTATAGCAACATGCTGTTCCGTTTTTTGTGAGGGACAAAATGCAGTGAGGCGAGTGGGAACGTAGTTGGCACTGAGCATCTTGAGCGGCATCGCTATGGTCATGCAGCCTCGTTCTGAAAGCATACATTTTATATAAGATAATGATGTCTTCAAGGCAACAGTGAATATTATAGGCTTTTGTTAAGCAAAGCTAGTGCGCTTTACTATCTTCGGCTGTATCATCCATTAACATCAGGTGGGATAGTAGTTAAGCACTGATGATGTTATGTTGGCTTAAGATAGTTAAAAATAAAATATTTTTGCCACGTTTTGTACTTGCGCTAGCCTTCCGTATCGTAAGTGTGCTTTCTTATTTCGATCATCGGACACCTCTGCAGCTTGCAAATTTCACGCCATCAATACAACCCATCACAAGTCCACTGCTAAACATACGCTTCCCCTAAAGAATGCCACTAAACACGGTCTGGGCCACCTGCATCCATCTATTTCCTGCATGTCTTATTAGTTCGTCACTAGATATGGTAGAGGCCGTCCTACACTTGGCTTACAGATACTAGCTTGCTACTCGAGAACCCTTCTTCGCCATAGGTTATAGTTACTCTGGTTTTACTGTGGATATCCTCATTATAGACCGTATCACGCAAAGAAACTCCGAGCATAGCCTTCCTATAGCTTGTTAAGCTACCTTGACCATCTCCATACGGCCATCAGTGAAGGACCACGTCTGAGATCCACATGTCATCACTGGCAACACGCACTGGTCGCACTTCACGTGTTCCGAGGCGAAGGAATAGATGAGGAAATCCGAACGTTTGTTTAACTAACTATATTTCGTAAATATGTGAAGTTTGTCGACCTGTGGAATAGGATGGCGGTCTGCTCTCTGCTCAATACCCTAACAGAAATTAGGAGACCTAGCTTATACAGGGTTATTTTGCAATAACCGGCCAAATTTACAGAGAAGGTTCAGAATAAGTAATACAGGCAAATGGCGAAGAAAATAAAAAAAAAATCTCAAACATTCTGTCTCTTTTTATTATTTATATTCAAAACGCGTGGTAATGCATTATTTTAATTGATATTACACATTCGTAAGGGTCGATCGGTAGGCAAAAACGTTGCCCATAAATCACATTCAGTTTGGGATAATTTCAAATAAAAGTAAAAGCCTTATTTACTTGTATTTTCAAAAACTGCGATAATGGTATATCATTATTTATATATTTGAACTTAAGTTTAAAATTTGACTACTCATTGAAAAATGATTGGCGGTCCACCACTGTGCGATTTAGAAGTTTTCTTCCTCGCACAACTTCCTTGTGGAATCGATTACCACCAGCGATTATTCCGGACCGATACGACTTAGGGACCTTCAAGAAAAGAGCCTACTCCTTTTTAAAAGGCCGGCAACGCATCTGCGATTCCCCTGGTGTTGCAGTTGTTCATGGGCGGCGGTAGTCACTTACCATTAGGTGAGCCGCATGCTCGTTTGCCCCCTCTTCTATAAAAAAATAAATAAAAAAATAACCCTGTATTACGGTTGTAGCACAGAATATCCGCGTAAAATAGCAGCTGTTGTGTTTTGTTTCGTATGGTGAGTGAAGACAACCAGATACACTTTTTACTGGAAACAAGACATTCCATCACCTCAGGGGTGATAACCCATTTGCGTTTTCATTTTTAATCGATAATAGATGTGGATGTCTATGGGCTACACATTCTACTTACCATCAGATGCGCTGCCACGCCTGAGGACTAAGATGGTATGCTTCATTACCGGTAAAAATGGTCTCCGGTTCTCTACACGCAACATACAAACCACAGCAGCGTTTATGCTGTTTCACGCTAGTAGTCTGTGAGTGATCCTGTCATGGTCGAACCGACCCATTCGTGTTGCAGCTATGTGTAGCTAGCATAGCTGCAGCGTGGCTCTACCATGTAAAATCTGTGAGTGATTGAGAGATTTTTTGTATTTAAGTTTACATTCCTTACCTGGTATCTTTCTTCTTAAATTGACATTCTCAATCATATAGATACCGCTTTTTCCTAGCACGTTGGCGACGGTCCTTGTCGTGAATTCTCTCGTTTGCTCTGATTCCAGTGATGGAGCGTCCGTCGCAACGCCGACTACGTGACTCAAGTTTGCTGCTATCCATTCGGCCAGTTCGTAACTCAGACCTGTTGGAAATGTTATATGTATTATTGTACACTACTACACTTGTACACTAGTGTAAGTATATGTATATAATATTGTAATTATTTCACTTTTCTTCTTTTTATTAATTAGAATGCTGGACATAATGAACCCTCTCCCATCGTATAGAGGGTTTGCCTTAATGGTCACCATTGACAGACGGACCAATGATCTCGGTATTAGAATTCTCGTATCTTTGATTTTTCTGGCGTGTCCCGTAGTCATCTCTTACGACGCTTACGAGAAGTGTTACCAGCTCGAATTTTCCCAAATCTGTTGATTGGTATAAAAAAATCAGTTGGATTCCTTAGAAGCTCTTGTTGTAAGTTCAATTGTAGTATAACATCGAATCAAGCTGCACATATAAGAAATAAGTATCAAAAAAATTTATTAAAAATTAATTACATTATTTTAATGAAATTATTTTTGGTAGATAACAAATAAAATAATTAACACTGAAATATTTGTGGATAGTTAAACCTGCTAAAAAAAATAATTAAATTGACAGAATATAAATGTTAAGTTTATAAAAATCTAATGATTCTGAAAGGACAGTGAAGTACAAAAAAAAATTTACATGGAAATCAAATTCCCTATATTTGGACCCAAATTCCGTAGTTCCGTAGACGATAAAAAATTCCGTAGATCTACGGAAAAATCCATAGAGTTGATAACGCTGCTCACGAGACAAAATTGAGTGTGGATTATCTTACATCACCACAAGACAATTATTTTACTATTAACTATAGTAATAATCTCTATATATAAAAATAAATTGTTGTCCGTTAGTCTCGCAAAAACTCGAAAATAGCTGGAGCGATTTTTTATGTATTTGAATGGGTGATCCAAGCGATTCGCAATTGGATAAGTGACGCTGTTGTCGAGATACAGAAATCACCCGTGCGAAGCCGGGGCGGATTGCTAGTTATATATATATATATATATATATATATATATATATATATATATATATATATATATAGAGCTCAAGAACGCTCGATGTAACAATCTACGCAAGTTTAACTTCTAAACACCTTTTGAAAACTGAAATCTTGAACGACAATTCAATCTTTCGGCGGTAAAGGAAAACGACTTAAGGGTGTCTACATGTCTGGGGAACTAAAAATAATTCGAGGATATATTCATGCAGACTTGATCTGTCTTTAAGTTCTACCGCCAAACAATTAAATGTGAAAAGGGGGCCAAATTCGCTAAAATTTCGCTAGTTTCTTAATTTAGTAAAATTAAGTTAAAAGGTAAGTAATAATTGTAGCCAGTCTTTATCGTAAATTTTCTTAGTATGCACGTGAATACTGTAACGGTGTTAATTTCTACATGAATGTATAAAAAACGATGGTAAATAACTGAAGGTTTTTCTAAAAACCTTAAAATAAAAATAAAATTAACTCTACGTTCAGGGTTGTCCGCTTCGCCTAAAAGAGTTGAGATCTGAAAGGGGTCTCCGGTTTTCTACACTCACCATACAAAACACAGTAGTGTTATGCAGCTATTTTACGCTCGTATTCTGTGAGAGCGTGGTCCTTCCCCGGTCGAGCCGACCTATTCGTGCTACAACTATACTTTAATATAAGTATTGACAACGTTTAGTATTCATTAAGAAGTTGAATGTTTACTTGTTTATACTTTTTATTAAGTCTTTATTAAGACACAGGGTTCCCAATAAGGCCAAAGTGACATTTTAGTTATTTGTGTTCACAAAAGTGTGATTTTTGTTTCGATTTGTTTGATTTGTTACAAAGTTTAATAAATAAATATAAGTATTTCAAATTACCAGTGCATTGTTATTATAAAATCTTGCTATTTGGCGACAGTATTAGGGAATAGGGTAGTTAGTATCCACTCAAACCGAACGTAAAAAGAGTCGGTCAGAAATTGGAAGAAAACTGTTTTTGATATAACTTACCAGGAATTTTGCAAACGCATCGCCGCTTGTAGGCTATGGTTCGTTTCCAACCGAATTTAAAAAGTATGAGGGTCGGCTCACGAGGGTCGTATTTTAACGCTGTCCATTGTAGAGCAATGTCCAAGGTAACGACTGCGCTTTGGTGGTTCTTCACAAGACTCGTCATGTCAATCACCTCCACTAAAATAATAGAAAACATATTCATTATCATCATTATAACTATTATCATCAACGTCAGAAAGGGCAATTTGTAATACATCCCCTTCCTCCAAATGCCAACCTCACATAAGAAGCATTTTTTATATAATAATATATTCTGTAAATCCTAGGAACAATGGCGAAGTTCGTCGAGAATAGACACAAGTAAGTAATACCTAATACATACTGGACTCCACAGAGTCAGTTATTTATTCATATGACAATGTATATGCTTTTATAAAAAAAATGCCAAAAAATATACAAAATTTGTCCGTCGCTAAGTAGGGTGATAATCAAACTATTTCTATTTTGATTTTTATACGTAACAAATTGTATCATCATCATCATCATTACAACCCTTCACAAGTCCACTAGTGAACATGGACTTCCCCCATAGAATGCCACAAAGCACGGTCCTGAGCCACGCGCATTCATTGACTTCCTCCATGTCTCACCAGGTCATCACTCCATCTAGTTGGGGGCCGCCCCACACTTCGCTTACCGGAATATTCAAAAACAATTTGTAATAAATTTGTAATAAACTTGCTCTCTACTTTTTCTCCTTGCTTGTATTTTAATGGTTCTCTGCGTGTTTTTGCTATTTCTTCCCAGGGCGGAAGTATTTTCCGAACCAGTGGTAAATTATATTATTAAATAATTTTCAATAGGCAAATATTATTTACTTATAAATCAAAATGGGAATAAAACAAGTATAGTCAAATTAAATATTTTGTACAACCGACTTCAATATGAATAAAATGAGAACATCATCAAAGTAGTCGAAGTCAACTAAATACGCATTATTAAGGATAACTCAAAAACTACTGGTCAGATCTTGATCAGATTTATGGGACAACATGAGAAGCACTAGCTTTCAAATAAAAAAAGTTTCATCAAAATCGGTTCACCTAGAAAACATTTCTGAGGTAACACACATTAAAAAAATACGAACGGTTTGGGAACCTCCTACTTTTTTTTTGGAAGACAGTTGAAAATCTATTATTATTTCTCACATCAGTGGTACATCCAGGATAATTAACCCACGATTCTCTGATTTGAAACTACTGATGGCGCGAAATTAAAAATCTATATAAAACACTCGACCCTAACTAAATAACCCTATATTAATTGATTTGCTTAAAATTTTTAAATTTAAGTACCTACTTATATGTGTGGCCTATTTGTACTATTAATGTTTCTTTCTTTCTTTCTAACCTACCAACCCGCTTGCACAGTGTAGTAAGAATGAACGATGTTTCTGGAAAAGATTCTATTCAGTAGTGGATGTCAAAAGGCCAGTGGTGTGATATTTCTTATTATCATCACCACCAAGCCACCAAAACCTGCAGGTCTTTGTTGTCATCAAAGTGATAGTAACTTTGTAGTACATTGCGTCGTATTTTTTGTGAGCCGAGGTAATATTTATAGAGAAGCTATATATAGAATAATAATGCCCTCAAGACCGAATTTCGGTCATGGTCTGCGCAGTACAGGATTAAAGTGCCCGCGTGTATGCGCAAACATCCCTCATTTTCATAGACGGTAATCCAACACGATTGGAGAGAGATCAAGCTTAGGACCAACGGCTAAACGTGCTTTATGAGGCACGGAGGTGAAACACCACCAACTTCCTGACTCCGGGCTGCTACTGAGGACTTCTTTACAGAAAAACCCATTAACAGATTTTGGCCAGACACGGGATTCGAACCCAGGCCCTCATAAGCAGCAACCGCTTTGATGACCAATAGACTAACGTGGCAGTCGCTATATAGAATATGCAATGTAACTATAATTTTTTTTGTCTACAAATTTTGCAAAAAGGCCAGTAGTAAGTTCGTATGAAATACATAGAGAAAAACGGGTGTCATTTTTTGCGGGGGGAAATTTGCGCACACAAAAACTCTGTCTAGTTGTGACTCACACATAACAATTAAAATAATAAAATAACAATTACACACACACATACACGGATAGATACACTACAGTATCGCTCTATAACAGCGACAACTCTGATAGAGACTCGGATAATTCGTTCGACCGATTTGCACTCATATATTGTATGAGGGCGAGCGACCTATGTTGGTAAACAAATTCGAAACAACACAACCGTTATTATTGTTAATTTTTAAAGTTTAAAAAGAAGTAAATAACAATAATGTGATTAAGAAAGTGCTAAATTGCCTATGGCAAATGATATGATGAACCAAGGTAGCTAAACGGTTGGCCGAACGTTTATGTCGACGATAGGTAATTAAATAAAAATTAATAATTTCTATGGGTAAAGGACTGCACCGCTGAAATTGTTAGACACAAAAGTGCCGATTTATCACGTCTCCAGCTGTGAAAAACGTAGTAAGGAAACCGGTCAGTCAGACTGTCAGACTTGTCACTTACTGACTGGCTGTGTTTGTACCATGTGCCACAAAATGGCCCGGTAAATATTTAAATTAATGTCGTAATGTAGTTTCATTTTTTTAATAATAGATTGTAAGTTCAAATTTTGTACCGACTAACATTTTTATGGATCTAAACTCTGAAATAAATTCATTTTATATCTCAGAAATTAAATAAAAAAATGCAAGAAAACGTTAAGTTTGACAAATAAACACATTGGAGCATCACTATTGCTTTCCCCGAAAAGCTAATTGCTCCAAAGGAAAAATTTTATTCCACTTTTAATGAAATCAACAATCACAATTTCACTCAAATCTATCGGATTTTACCATCATTAGAATTTGCACGGTCATAAAAACAGAAAAGTACGTTGTGTATACTTACATCTTGTTAGTAGATATTCAGTAGGTATAACTGCTGGCTGCATGGACCCCGTAGATCCTGCGTGTTCCAAATGTATTGCTGTACCTAACGTTGGTATACCACAATTGACACATATTCTCCTAGAAAGAAAAAAATAAAACAGTTAATTTATTCATTAGAAGCTACCACCATTTATTGAAGATCACAAAGTCTTTTGCTTGCCATGGTCTCTTGCCATGCACACAAAACTAAATGGGGGTGATAGATTTCTATACACCGGAACTACATGACAATAGTATAGCCACACTTCAAAATATTGGACGAAATATATTGGACTATTGGATATTTGTTAGACCTAAATCTTACCAGTGTTTTTCAATCGCGCCGTAGTAATCCATCAGATCCTTCCAAGTCGTCGGAGTTGTCAGGTCGAAAACGTCGATTACAGATAACTCTTCGTCCAAATGCTTACTATCTAAACTGCCTCCGTATAAGAGGCACATTTCTACTATCAAAGTGATATAAAATGTTATTTGTCTACACATTGTGGTGTGTTGTTGTCGAATGATTTGAGTCGGAGGCTATTGTCTCGAAATCAACTCTTGTTTAGAAAGGTCGCTCGCAGTTTAAAACAACATAACGTCATCCCGTCTACAATGTTTTTCTTTGTGTGTAGCTACTTTATATATTTTTTTTTGGAGTGAAAAATCTTTTGACGCGTTTAGCGATTTTTGTTAGGGGAAAAACTTACGGGTTCGCGTCACCGATGACCTCGACATGCTCGTGACGTATTTAGCTTGTGGTGCGCAAGCGCAATACATCACGAGCATGTCGAGGTCTACGCGTCGCTACTCTGGCGCAAGCCACTATAGCGGCCTCTCTACACACATATATTATTGAGTTTTCACTTCTGTCGGCAGTCCTTATGACTGCCTCTGTTTATTTTGTTTCTTTTTTTATAGAATAAGGGTGAGAAACAAGCACACACTCCACGTGATGGAAAGTTGCTGTCGCTCAAAGACATCTACATCTGTATTCGATTAAGGATCAAAATGTAGATGCGTTGCCACCCCCGAGGACTAACATGAAATGCCTCGATTCTAGTAAAAAGGTTCTCCAGTTATCTACATTCACATAATATGTATGATTCAGTTGATTTTTTTTAAATAAAATGTTTTGCTGATAACGTTTCGAATATTTTGCATCGGGTCTCATATATTTTTATATTTATGTATAATGTATAAATAATGTAATTTAAGTGTTGCCTGTCTCGTTATTGTAGTGGTCGTAAGAAAGTTTGCTAATCATGAGGTCTTGGATTCGAATCCCGGATCAAGCCACAATAATTTTATTAATTTTTCTATTGCGAAAAAAACTCTCCAAGTTCTTTGAAGAAGAAATTTTTTACAAATGTTTATTCATGTCTTAGTTACCGTAACTGTTATAGCCTACTAAAGTCCACTGTTGAACATACACCCCCATAGGTTTCCTCATAGGGGGATATTCGCCATAGTTGCCACGGTTGGCAAGCTGGTTGGCAACCGTAGTTTTATATTTTTAGTCGTTATTAGGAAGACCCTGTTACCCATTTCCTGATTTGTTTCTCTCTGTCGCCTCTCACAAAATCCAATTAAACAAATAAAACGCAATTATTTCTATATTACAGACATACATTTTAATTTTATTTATATGTATAGATATCAATACTAGAAGGGACTGCTTATTGTTTCGAACTCTGATTGTCTAATTTGTTTTCAAACAAAGATGACTATGTTACAATGCAGTTAGATTCATGTTTAATTGTCAGGTGTGACGTATCGAAGCCTCCGTAGATCAGGGATAAGCGCTCGTTTTTTTGTGTGAAAGAAAGTTAAGCCTTGTAGCAGAAAGCGCTTTGTAGGAAGATACACAAGACATTATAACTGTAAATAATAGAGGTAAGGATGACCGGAAAACCGATCGTCGTATGCTAACATCGCGAATTGGACATGTTGCACAGTGTCATAGCTGTAGCACGAACAGGTCAGCTTCACCGGGAAAGGAACCTGCTCGGACAAAATACCAGCGTGAAGTCACAGCATGATACTGCTGTGAATAACAAAACCGGTAACCCTTATTAACGGTTCATTATATCTTAGCGGTTAGGGATGACAACGCATTTGTAATTTGATACTTAATCGAGGATAGAATAGGTTCAAAGATCACAGTATCCATTTAACATCTTAACATGCTGTGTTTCGTGTAGTGAGTGACAAGAACCGGAGACCCTTTTTACTAGTAACGAGGAATTTATATTTTGATTCTTATTTGAGGATTGCTGTAGATGTCTATGGGCTATAGCATCCACCAGATCAAGCATCATCAAGCAGATCGTATACCCTTCTACAAAATATATTTTATATGTACACGCAGGTAGAGAAGTTCCACTGAATAAATATTATAAACGTCAAATGCAGGTAATTAATAAAACTTCGTATTTATTTTGGATAATATGGGAGAGAAATTGTCTTGCTTTTGTCACTTGTACGATAAAGAAAGCTATTTATTTACATACCTTGAGCCTATTACGCCATCATCATTATCATCATCATACGCATTGACTATTATGACGCCGGTCCTGTTCCAAAGAGGAGGCTGAGTCCAAAGAGTAGTGAGCTACTCGGACCACGTTTAGCAAAACAAATATGGGTTTAGATGTAGTGAACTAAGTGGTAGGTGGCTATCGAGTAGATACTATATATTTCTAAAAAGAAAAGAAAATGGGGAAAAATTACTTGTTCATTAAATTTCACTTGCAACTGTGATATCCACAGCATCCAATAACCATTAGGTGGACTGTGTGCTTACTTATCACCAATATTCTAATCAGAAATCAGAAATATTTATTGGCCATAATATAACAATCGTTACAGGCAAGTCATTTTTACAAAATGATCTTATATAAGGTTAAATTACATTTGAAACAGAAATAGAAACATTTGTATTAGATATAGATTATCTATACATATAATAAAAATGTAAATAGCAGACGTGTGTACATTTTATATTTTTGTAATAAAAGTGATTAAGGGGTACTAAAAAAAAGTAATTATATACATTTCTACCATTTTTAGAATTTTCTGTCTGTCTGTCTGTCTGTTTGTTTGTTAACGTATCACGTATAAAGTACTAATTAAGTATATACAATTCTATGGTGTATCTTCGGGTTACATTTAGTCTTTATTTTATTAAAATCAGTTCATTCCATCAAAAGTTATGACAAATATTCTGAAGTATGTAAAAATCATAAAGCGTACCTATCTTCGAGTTACATTTAATCTTAGTTTTATTAAAATTGGTTAATTCTATCGAAAGTAATGATTATTATTTTGAAATGAAGGTTCGAATTTGTTCAATGGCGCCATAAAATCTCAGAAATAGTAATAAAATGATTTGTGTGTAAAAAAACGTTCTATAATAATTAATATATTTATACTTAAAACACAAAAAAGGATGTTTTCTCATACAAAGGACGTAATAGATGGAGTTAGAGTACAAATTACAACCTTTTTATATTTATTAAAACTATACAATAGAACCCGACTAAAAGTAACAAAATTGCAACGAAATGTGATGTTGTATTTATATCCAAAACCAGTGCTGCCTGCCATTTTAGTGCCTTGGGAGCTAGATCTAGCGCTTTTTTGTAATCTTTTCGCGCGCATTTCAAAATTTTAGCACCTAGCGCTAGCTAGCTAAAATTGTAGCGTCTAGTGGGTTATCTAACTCTTTTAATATACTTTATGTCATGGCATCACTGTCAGTCTACATTACCAATAATGATAATAACCTTTATTATATTTTCCCACATATAATACATTGCAGTTTATCTTTTTCAAACATTTTTTTTATAAAACAAATAGCATGGGAGAGAGTCCAAACTAGGATACCCTGTGCTATGGATCTCCCGGCTCCCCCTTTAGGATGATCAACTTGATTTTTTTCCGATAGACTATAAGCGGGGAAATCCCCTTTATTAAAATTTTCGTTCGTGGTTTTGGCAACGCATTTATTTTGCTTTATTCAGTTTCAGTCAGTTGTTTAGAGCACAGCTAAGTTAAAAGTTATCTACTCAAAAGTTACAACACAAAGAAACACCACACCGTATTCAGATGCTGACATCGAACGTGTGTTCAGGTTAATGATTGTTGTTAAAACTAAATTGCGAAATACATTGCACTTTAAAACAATTAATGCCATTTTAATTGTTCGTACAATACTAACTACTGTTGACAGCAATTGCTATAATTATAAGTCGATGTCCTGCGAAGTATTGATACATAAAAAAAATATTGCCAGAAAAAAAACTTTATGTTGTTTTCTTTATTATGATGATAACGAAATTAAACGATTAGGTTGAACTTTGTTCGTGTTTTTTATTATAATTTATAATTCAAAAAAATATATAGTTAATTTAGCACGAAATCTAGGACTTTTTTAAAGCGCTGTTCATGAAATCTAGCGCATTTTGTGTTGTCCTAGCGCTGAATGAGTTTTTTGACCTGGCAGAGTGAGTTTGGGCAGTGGCCCAAATCCCTCTATTACCAAATAACTTTCTTTTCAGTTTTAAGCGCGTTCAGTCCCCAGTCAGCGTGTGTTTATGCGATAACCGTAAATAAAGCGCAAGGTCAAACTACGCGTTGCAGGAGTGGACCTCAGTACTGACTGGTTTGCACATAGCCAACACTATGTTTCTTTTTCCCGCGTTAGTAGCCCCCGTAACCTTTTTGTGTATACCCCGGCTAAGTCTACTTCTAACGTCGTTTACACAGAAGCTCTATCATAAACGACTTAGAACTTTGATGATAATGATTTATTTTGTTACCACTTATTGATACAGTAATGATATAAATCGTATAATATCGTGAGATTGATTTCATTATGATGACCAGACGACAACTGTTCAGTGATGTCTCCGTGACCGCGAGGGTGAAAACTGGTAGCGTTCACCGAATGGTGAGAGGCACACTGAACCTAAACTTTAAATTGGAGAGGTCTCGTCTAATGAAGGCAACGCTCTGTCCCCTCGTGCTCTGTTCCAAAGTCCCGAAATCTTTCAGCTCGAGTTACAAAACCGTTTTCAGTGCCAAGAAGACTGCAATGAAGTAGACGATATGAATGACAAGCTCGTGGAAACTGTCCATGCGGTCGGAGCTAAGTTCTGCAAGACCCGCCGCAGAAGAACACAAAAACTCTCCGATCACACTCTCAATCTCATGGCTGTTAGATGGGAGATGAGACTACATTCTTCAACAGATTTGACAGCATACAGGCAACTGAACAGACAGATCTCCAAATGCATGCGGTGGGACTTACGCAACTTCAATACAGCTTGTATTGAAGAAGCGATCGGGCGGAACCAAGGCTCCAAAGTCTTTGCCAGAGATCTGTCTGCCAGAAAGAGCCAACTGTCGAAGCTGAAGACCGAGTGTGGCAGCATCGTTTCCGGGGCATCTGAGATTTTGAGTGAGATAGAGAGGTTCTATGGGCAGCTGTATACTCATCG